GTTCCACCCTAGATGCCCTAGCTTCGCTGGTTCACTACATTCTGTCAGCACTTGATGGGAACAAGAAAGCTGTCAGAATTTGTTTCTTGGATTGCAGTGACGCCTTCAATTGTGTTGACAGGTCCATGCTGTTAAATATTTTGTCTTCAAACGGAATATTGCAAACCACTACTGCAGTACTCACTATTTCATCAATCAATCACAGTTCACAGATTACCTTGGTCGTTCCTCGTCGTCCTTAATTTCTACGTTAGGCGTATTATAGGGTGCCATTCTATCCCCGTTTTTTTCCACTTATATTTCATCCATGCTTACTTTAAAAAATTCCTTGCTCATTAAATATGCGGACGATGTTGTGGTCGGAATCGCCCACCCTGACGGATCTGTCACCCCCACCCTCCAACTTGGTCTTACTAACCTTGCTGAGTGGTCCACTGAGCATAGCTTAACTCTCAATCCCTCTAAATGTGTAGACATGGTGTTCTCACTTCACAGAGGGAATTGTTATGCCAATCCCCTGGAATCCTGTCCCACGTTAAACATATACGATGATACTATTGTCCAACCTCCAAATGTCAAGTACCTTGGTGTGTTAATTAACCGAAACGTATGCTGGTCTAACCCAGTCGTTTATGTATTTGGAAAGGTCAGGAAACTATCATGTTATGTCTTACGACTGAAAACACTATCCGTCAGTCGCTTCTTGATTAAACGTTTCTTTTTGCCTGTGTTTTACTCCTATGGTTGTAAGGGGCCCCAATAATCTCTGCAGGGATGCTCAAAAAGGACCTTAAATTGCTTTCCAGGTCATTAACACATCTATCAAGAAGTAGCGGGATTTCCCGTGAAACTAGCTGTCACTTCGTCAGTTCCCAACATACAAAGTCATGCTTCTCGTTATCAACAAAAATCATAGATAACCCTTCACATCCGTTACATCAGGATCTTATTAAGCGTGTATCCTCCTCTTCCACCCAGTCCCGCTATAACTGTATATTTGCTCGTACAACCGCCTATCGGTCTTCTGTGGTGCCCTACCTTGCCTGTTTCTTGTCAGCCCAGAACGCATAGCTTCGAAACTTAACTCAGTCATCTCGTAACTTGTTTTCTTCTTCATTGCTTACGACAATTCTGTTATATTTTTGCTCGATAATTGTTGGTTGACTATGTGACTGCTGAATATCCACCTTTCTGGTTGTATAAAGCAGATACTTGACTTGACTTGACTGACTTGAGTAGCACTGGTGTTGGTTGTCAACGCGAATAAAGGATTATGGTGACTGATTCACATGCAACAGTCAAATGAAGACTCAGCTGAGTTTTAAAGCAGAACTTAATAAAACCATTTTTTGCATAGAGTGTGCAATTGATATTTTTGAATTTAAAATTACTGTGAAAGCAGACAAACGATAACCATATACAATTTAACCGGATACCCGGTAGTAGATTCATGATTTGCAGCAAATTCTCAAACAAAGTGCTTGCGAACAAACTGGGTTTCGGAACTTCATCCTCCGGCATAGACAGTTATTCGCCGTTCATCAATAATGAAAGCAAACAAACGTGGGGTATGTTGCCATTTCTTTGAACCTCCTCATTGGCTGACCTAAACCATCAGCACTGATGATGTCACCTCAGCTGGTGATGAAACGTGTGTAAACAAATTGACAAGCTCAGCGAACAGGAGAAATGGAATTCAGTTCACCCGAGCTACGAGAACCGATTTTCGATATGCTTTCAGACAGTTCTATGATCATGCAAAACGGAGAAATTTGGGAGTTGAAATGAGTCTTTTGAACAAGGTGGTGCTATTGTTGGTGGTGGCAGTGGTGGTGACAGGGGGTGACAGGTGACCTGATTGATTTGTGCTTGATTAGGGTTTGAGGTCAAGTTAGAGGTGAACTGGTTCAAACAGTGTGGTTAATGTAGTGCAAGGAGGATGAAGAGGGAAGGTCATATCACACTAAGATAGGGTAGTACCAAATGAGATATCAGCACAACCACGGCAACAACAGTTACGTCACAAATATCTTTGAATATATAAGTGCAGTTTCAAGCTATGAATGACTATCAGTTCTGAAAATCGCAAATTCCGTGAACTTTGAGGCCTCGCAATGACTCGGAAAACTTTGCAGTGCGTCTACATGGGGACCGGAGTCTAACAAATGCCCTACAGTTGCACTGCTTGGCAGGTTCCCTCCGCAAAAACCAAGGTGTTTCGGATTCTGTTTACACATTGTAGTTGATAAATGATGTTCTGTCCTTCCGATGTACCGCTGACCGCAGATACATTGAAATGAATAGATAGGATGGAAGATAATAATAGCGAGTGAAACAACGAAACGTCCCGTAGACGATCAACAGTCTTGTGGCATTGTACCTTCTTTCAACGACGTGTGTTAAACGACGAGATATCTTTGTTGCCAAATCATCTCCCTTGAAAGATAGTTCTATATAGACATATCTGGTATTGCTCAATAAAGAAATAGGTATGGTGTTGCTCGACTTGCTGTACTTGTGAATGAGTGTAATGGGATAACCATTGTATGACAAAGCATGAGCCAGTCGTCCTGGTTCATCTGGCAGGACTTGCAGGCTACATAGTGTGTGTTGATGAAGTAAACGCATTTATTCATAAAGCCGATTGAAAATGGAATTGGTCAGTAAAATTGGATGAAAAACTTAGCAGTAAATGATCTTCATACAGTGTGACTGTATCATCGTTTTGTACCATCCGTTTGATCCAACCTGTAATCTCAGGCAGATAAGTTACACCCCGAGACTGTTCTCAATTTAATTGGATAATTTCAAGCGATTCACACAACGGGACTAACCGAACGCCGGTTTGTTATACTGGCAAGGAGGTCGTGGCACGATCGGCAAAGGGTTTAGTGTTTTGCTTTGAGGTCGGGATAGCTAGCCCCTACGCGCAGTGAATGCTAGGCGACCGACTGCATTCGACCGTCGATGTTCTTGAAGCATTTCCTGTGTCTGATAGGAATAAAAGGAGAATAATGGCGGTGTTCGGTGTCATAGATTCTTGGGCACCAATAGCAGTTTTCGAAAGGACTAGACTAGACAAATAACCATTGTTGCTATTCATATACCTACGCCCCGTGATATGTTTCTCTTTATTTTGATCCGTATCTAGTTATTACCCTGAAGAAACGCAAACTTCGAAACAATAAAGAAGCTCTTTGTTTGAATCAGAACTCAGAGCGTAGGTGAACATATATTTATATTAGTCTAAGCGGCAAACCGCTAGTTTCGGACCAAATGTGTAATTAAATGATTTGCACAGCTAGATGCAGGAGGTTGAAACTGATCATACAAGATCATTTACGATCTATGTTTAAAATATAAACTGCCACTCAATAAACTGAACAAAACAAATCATCCATTGGGGTGTGGTTTTAGATCCGATGACCGACACGGCAGGAGTTATATTCATTTATCGGCTGCGACAATCATATGTTTGTCTCTCCATTCCACATGACCGGTCCCTTGCTCTCTAATACGGGTCAGACAGGCACTGAGTATCGAATGGATTTGTTCATCGATCGATCGGATGGGTCATCTGCAACGAGTGTTACAACACTTGATCAGTTCAAGTCAAGTCATTAGTAGCTTTATGCACCCGGATGGGTGTATTTTTCAACAATTACACCATATTTGTGGATTCAAATTTACAAAATCATTACATAATGAAACTGAAAGCAATGAGGTGTTTGTCATTGAAGCAAGCGGTTGCGCAATTCTGTGGAAATTTTGTCTTTGTCTATGTATAGACGTGCTAGATATGGCAGAACAGAATTACGATAGGCAGAGGTACGTGCAAATAATAGTTTAAATCTTGAGCGCGTGGATGATGTAGATACAGCTTTTGAAAATTTGTTGTGTAATGGATGGTGAGTGTCTGAGAGTATTTTGGCGGTGAAATTTTCATATGCTTGTAGATGTTTGTCAATGATAGAATCGGCCAGTTTATCTCTGACAATGCCACTACATTTAGAGATGTTTTTCAGAGATCTCGCCAGTAAATAAAAGTCTTTCTTCAACAGACCGGGAAAAATTACTGGGGAGCAATACAACCAGTGGGGTAGCACACATGCATTCACAAATCTAACAATCAGCTTGTGGGGAACAGAAAGTAATAACAATCGGAGTGAAAAATATGAAAGTTTTCTAACTTTACAGAATGTGTTTTGAACGTGCAGTGACCATGATAAATTGTGTGATAGGGTGACGCCAAGTTAACAAGAGCGAGAACCGATACCTTGCCGGCCCCCTCACATCTTAAGAATACCCAGTGAACTTTGACTGTGCACAGCACAGGCGCCATCATCACAAGCCTGGCCAACAAGTAACAACAAAAGTATGACAAGCAATCAACCCCGACTATCACAAGGTCCCCGGTCATATTCAGGGAGTTCAGGTGGTGCGAATCGTGGAAAATTATCCAATCAAATCTTGAACGGGATCAGAAGGAGGTAAGTCTACTATATTTTTAAAGTAGGACTGAAACAACGTGCGAAATTTAAGGTGCACGCGATTACCCATGACTCATTGATCGTCAACTTTCAAAGTTTTTTCTAGCTTCTACTATCATCATGGCGTAAAAGTTGTCATTAGTTTTTTCATCTTCCAGGTCAACTTGAGGCCTGGGTCAGTCTCTTCATCTGTATACATAGAAGTTACTTCCGCTCTTTAGTTAACTATGCTTCATTCTTCCCTAATGGGCATGAAAGTGGACCAGTTCGAGTCGATTTTCAGTTTCTTTAACGCGGCCTGGGATTGCACTGGTAACCAATTTCATTCACCCGATGATCTGTCACACGATGATGACGTCTGAAGCTCCAACTCACCAAATCACAAAGAGCCTAACGACTTTTGAGCAACTGCACTCCCCCCCCCCATTGAAATCCTCACTCTGTTTTCACTCTCCTTTAGAAGTCAATAATCCAGTAGAATGATTAGATCTATGTACAGTTTCACGATTCCATATAATTTCACTGTATGCTGCTGCAGATAGACATAAATGTAGTTTACGTGTTTGGGCAAAAGTTTGCAAAAGTGCAATTAATCATAGGAATGCTCTGGTGAAACTCATCAGTGGTGCTCACGTTTCAGTCCTTCGGGGATTTATGCACCAGTCACTTCGCACGGACACCGGGTGCGTAACAACCACGCCAAAATACTATGGGACAGCTGAATAACGACAATCTGACATTACTACTGATGAGTAGCTACAAACTAAAGGTCAAAATTGTTCTATCTAAACCATCGAACACGTTACTCTCAAACGCGAAATGATTTCCCTGACCGCTTTCTTTCAGTCGCACTGACAACCTTGCGAGCATCGAAGTTCAGACCAAACGGCGTGAGCATAAAAATTACGTGGGTTTAATTATGTTCATTTGGGAAATATTGCAATAAATTATATTCGATATTACTCCATTTTATTACGCTAATCAACCCTCAGAGAACATAGTTTTAACGCAGAAAAAGCTTCACAGACTGAAGAAAAGTTAAACCGTTTAGAAGGTTTGGGAAAATAGACTTACGCTGGACATGGTGTCTACCTTTGTACCAGGTTCCGAACCCAAACCACTGTCGTGCATCATTTCCGAATGTGAATTAGAACCGCGGGTTTTGATCATATCCAACTTCTGTAGATGAAGACTCCTATGGGTAATCCTAGTTTGATTGTCTAACCGTGGTGGAGTCGATTTACTGCGCGACTGGCGATGAGTTCTTATCGCAGAAGCAGTATCTGTCGAATCGCATGGATTAGTTCCGCCAAGTTTCGTATGCTCCGTGCCTCGGGATACCTTGAATTCCAAAACCGAATCCCCAGTCCATGAGCTGCTCATTGCATCACTTTTCGAAGCCAGTGTCGGTGTGGGTTGTCTTGAACTGTTCACTTGCAGGCAATCTGAATTTGCTACTTCCGGTCTGTTGTCTGATGACGTAACGCTGCAGGATTCGCCCGGATGTACCGGCAATCGAAGCGGATCAACGCCAAACTTCGCGTAATCCATCACATTCAACATGTGGCCTAGTGCACCTTGCATTTTGAAGTGTGGCTGACCGTTTAACATGGCCAATGTTTTGTAAGTCAGCCAGTTAACCATTGGTTTTTCACGACCAACCGATTCTTTCCATTTTTCAACACGGCGTTTACGCAGCTCACTTGCATCAGTATGCAAATCTCGCCGATCGCATAGTCTTCGACGAATGGCTTCCGTCCCGGTTAGGCCATCCGATCTAATTCTATTGGGATGATGCAATGGTAGTAGCATATCCCCATTGTACGGACACATGTTTGCGCACCAGGGTGGATCTTTTCCCGAACGGGCTGTTGTTGGCTCCGTTGATGAGTTTTCTTGGTGTATTCGAAACCAACCAGGCAGAGTGAGTGGATTTATCAATGTCTTGAACAAGTTTTGTGCACATCCAGGTAGTGGGGTGGGTAAAGTGCTTTTACTGGATCTAATCGAATCCCGAGATTTTTTAGACAACCGATCGATAAAAATGGGGCTGGTTGCATGATCCGGAGCTGCACAAGCATTCTGATTGCACGTGTGCCTACCCACTGTAGCCACCGCTGAATTGCTCCCATTTCCGTTTGGAAAGTTGTTCGTCCCACTGGACACATTGATAAATTCGCCCACTGCTTTCTGGCAGGTTCCGTCGCGGACGTTTTCCATCACATGCATGGCCAATGTGTCTCGATTGAGAAAGTCCGTACCGCATTCGTTGCAGATAAATGATTCTTTTGACAGGGAGTAGTTTGTCACCACACTGCTGTTGCTATTGGTAATGCTGCCGGTATTTCCACCACCACTGGAGATGTTATTGTTCATGCGGACTAATGGTCAGAGAAAGCAGCCGAACCTGTGAATTTAAGGAAACAATGGTGAGACAGATGCTTATGCAGGTACATCACCCATAAAAAGATTGTTCTAACCATAAGCACAGGATGAAAAAATGTAGTCCACAACTGTCATCAGTCGGAAAGATCGACATAGGCCATATATTTAACGTAATAAACCAGATAGACTGCCCCATCCGTCGTCAAAAGTCTTAATTGTAAGTTGACTACTCATGAGTAGCATAAACGCAGTTGTAATCAGAAGACTAGAAAGTGGTAATATGTACATAGGAAAAATAACGGAATAAATCACANTAGACGGTTAATCGATGTGATATCGCTCAGTGATGTGCTTGAAATATCTCTTTTATCCATGTTAAACAGCGAAAAGTGAAACCAATATTGTTTCTGAACTGCATCAAAATGGTTCCAACTCCTTTCCTCAACGGACTTGGAAACTACCTTCAGTTTCCTATTTATCCCGCTCCAGTTACCTTCCACTTTGTTCGTGAGGATGCCAGTCGCCTGATTGATGAATCTCCGGGGATGGTTTACCATTAAGGGAGTGTGCCCCAACGAGGACAGCGTTCTGTATGCTTCCCACTCCTATCGGATAGATTCAGACAATATCCATCGTTGTATTCTCGATAACGGTGTACTCGTCGATCTGTTGTTCACTCTTCCAAAGTACCTCTCCCTCGATTCTGTCATACATTCAAAAAACTCAAGCAGTTTTGGAGGTTTTTCAACTCCCATAAATACACTTGTTGATTACTGTCTCATCCAGTTCAACATTTCTGGACGGGCCACCGAGTGGTTGATTCACGGCAATCATTTTGAACGAACATCTTCCCCGACAAAACACGTAGCACTGAATTGTTGTTCTTTCGGACAAACGGCCGTGGTGTTTGCCAAAAAAACTGAAATTTCCAAAACGAAGTACGGTATTGGCTCTACAAGAAGAAGTAGCGATATTTTGGAATTCTCAGTAAGAACGTGCCTGTTCGAGTGGGCACCATTTTTTTCTGATTAAAACGAATACATCCAGTGTCATTCTTAAATAGTTATTACGTAATCGCAAAAACAACCACGCTTTTCCGGCAAAAACTTTCTATGTTGCAAATACTCACCGTATGTGCTTCCTTTAACTTTTGATAGAAATTACCGCATCCATGAAGGGCGAGCGAAAAACAGTGAACGTATAAACAAACTAACTTAATTAGATGTAGAGCAAAAACACCTCCGGCAATTAAATTTGTTGAAAATAATTTTTCGCGGGAAATAGTCTGTGAAGAAATTATGGACCTTGACAAGAAAATAAATGTCAGGTGTCTACCTCTTTCATCTTACACAGTACAAAACGCGGAGGACACTTACTGTGTGCTAATCTTAAGCATTTGGTCATGAGACGGGAGTTAATTTCTGTAAATTTCAGTTAATTGCGATAGAAGTAGTTGTAATCTTAAAATGTACTAAACAGCTGTTTCGTCCTGTTTCGGACTCATCAGCAGTGCGTACTTTTTGTGTCCCTATCAGGACTCAAACCGCGAACCCCCGGGTAGCCCTTCAAACCTTGACCCCTGCGTTCCATAGCTTTCTGGTTGTCAAGTTGTTTGAATGGCTCAATCAGCTTAAAGTACCATGTTTGGATCAATCCATTAGATTGTTCGGAATCATGCACTACTGATAGGTCTCATACAGGATGAAAATGGTATCCAATGCTCTTTGTCGGTCATCACAAATATTCCCTTCGCAATAAAATGAATTCAATTGGTAAGGGATTAGTTATCTCCCAAAGAGTGAAACCCATATCGAAGACCATCAAAAGTGCCCGGTGCTTCAGAAAAATCGAATGGACTAATCCAGACAAGATACTGTAAATCATGTATATTTCACTTTATCACACTGTTGTATGGCACTGCAAACTCCCCGCCCCCATACCCCCTGGCGCTATTATATATATATATATATATATATATATATATATATATATATATGTATATATATACTGATTTTACCGAGAATGCAACTGGTCCAGACTAGCTCTTAAATAGTTCTTCGTCCTACAGGGGACAGCTCATACCCGTCTTTTGCGTTAAAATTTACGAACCGTAATAGACAAAAATTGGCGGCATTTGAACTGCGTCCAAGTTCAGCTGAAAGAGAAATCCACACCAAATGAGCACGAATTTATTTTGAACGAAACCAGTAGCTTATCGATTTGTTTTGCTCAAACAGGGAGTGCAGGTCAAAA